TGTCAAGTAACTGGCAGACACTTCAGTAGCACCTATCAAATCCCCCAGACGAAGCCACACGACCCTGTGGCGCAACGTGTTGGTGAGGGGCACTGATGTCACCACGTACCTGACTTCCAGAAAAGGTGAGTATTGACGATGTGTGTAGACACACTGAGGAGGCTGGTCACATCCACATGCAGCGGTTCTTATACCACAAAGCACAAAATTGTTTTTAAACAATTGAGTGCAATATGGGCACACAATAAATCTATTTTAAAACTATAAAGGCACTATATACTTTTCCCCCCTGCTCTAATAGGGAGATGGACTAAGCAGTTTGAGGAAGGAGAGACCAACATCCTCATACACAAAGGTTACTAGCAGCAGTAGACCCAGGAGTACAGAGGAGAGCCGTCAGCCCATCCCAGAGGATTATACAACAGCTCCTTTCAATTTAGCCATGCTAGCCTAATAGTCTTTGGAAGGTGAGTGCATATAAGACATTATCCTAGTAAATATAATACAGCTTTCAACAGCAAGAAACATTTGGACATATACACTTTTTGGACACTTATTTTATTAATTATAATATCATAATTTATATTCACACTTTGTATCATAATTGGATAATATTTGCATGCAGTTGAATTGATATTTTACAGTATTTTTCATGAAATTATTTGATTATATATTGATACAAGGCACAGTATTTAACCCATTGTTATAGTATACCATTACATTGACTATACAGTATATCAGGGCGCGGCACCCAATTCTAAATAAAGACTTCAGTAGCACCTGCTGGCTACATAATATAATGCAGCTAACAGCTGGGGATTTGGCTCTCACTGGGCTCCAGCAGACATTGGGTTAACTGATACCCCAACTATCAAAACAATGCCACAAAGCACCCCCCAACAAAACAAAAAACCCACACAGTACACTTGCTCAGGAGGGCTCTACTTCTGATCCTGCCCATGCCCCAATGTCAATTTTTTATTTATTTATTTATTTATTTATTTTTTTTAAAACACAGCTGGATAGAAGGTACAAGTTTCAGTTTGGTGCATTGCATTCCACCCAACTTTTCCTCTGGTTGGATTGGTGACATTTGTGCTCTGAAGGACCTTGTCCTGGTACAGGGGTGGGGGGGGGGGGTTTGGGTCATGAGTGCTACACTGAATCTTTGCTCTCCATCCTGAAAGATAGTGAAACCAGACACTTTCAAACAGCAGAGGAAGGGACCAGTACATGTCATTTACTGGCCCCTTTTCTGAAGCAGAATCAGTGTTCTGTACAGAAACATAACGGTTTGCTTCAGTTTATGAATGGATCAGAGCCTGTCTCCTGTTCATCCATCTTCAATGCAGAAACCCCCCATGTTAGGCATCTGTTTGGACCCCCAATCTCTCAATGCCCCCCAGGAGTTGTAATTGTTACAAAATAAAAATTGACATGGTCCATTGCTCTGACACCATCCTGCACACATGTTGTACTGTACATTCCGTACTACAAGTCATTTGACTAACCACACCTTTAAGCCATGCCCAATATTTAGTACAATTTAAGCCACACCCACTTTTCACCATGGCACACTGTACATTGAATCTTTATTTTTGATCATGTCTAGGGCCCACAGATTCCATGATACACCCCTGATTACATAGGCATGCCATCATTGTTGGTGATCTCTCCCCTTCAAAAGCTAGCTACTGGGGAGATCATGTCACCAGACCCGAGAATAGGCAAGTACAAGCCTCTTCTCTACAGTTTTGTAACTAACAGTAGTTTTGTTACTTTAAACAGACTGGTTAATCCATTATGAATCATACTATTATGAACCTTAAAGTGTCTGACCAAAAGAAACCCCTTCATACTTGCCCTAGGTTTACAGTAAACACTGCAGCCACAGAATACCTGCTGATCCTTCCTTCAACACACTTGGTTCTGGACTTTGTGGGCCCACAAACACTACCTTTTCTATACCAATATAAACCAAGTGTTGGCCTTGACCAGTTTTACTTGAGCTACAGAACATTCCCAGCTTGGTAAACCAATGGTTAAGAGCTTGGACTAGGCTGACAAAGGGCTGCAGTTAAGCAAAATGTGTTTGATAATTGTACATAGATATTCCTCCTCCCGTGGTCTCCTTTTTTCGTGAAGAAGTGCCCAGACACTGTTCTTCTGCATTCATAAGCAATACAGAGCATTAGCTGCCCTATAATCAAGTTTTTACTCAAACCCCTTGCTAGAGTGTAAAGAGCATGAAAGTGTACTAGGATGATTACTTCAGTTTCTCTAGGCCAATAAGTGCAGAGTCAAAGTTAAAGTACAACTACAAAATTTATTTTATTGTTTTGGAGACAGGGTTTTCTTAGGCTTAATGTTCCAAACCAATATACACGCTATTAATCCAACAAGCCACAGCAAGCAGACTCCTGCCACCATCCAGATTTCAAATATCCATGATGACGATTGGTTCATCGTTAGGGCCTTGTCACCATCTGATCCTACAACATACAGAGGTCCGAGTGTTGCAAACCATTCATCCTGTGGTTTAATGTCTAAACAAAGGAGAAAAAAAAATCCATTTAAAATCTGGATTAGGTTTCTTAAAGTAAATATAAGGGGTAGTTATTAGCATCCATGTCCTAGATAGGACGGGACATTAATGAGAACATGGTTACCAGGACTGATGGTAAAGTCCACATACTGAATTTACCAAAATGAAGATGTTCCAGTAGGAAAAACTTGTTCTAGCAAGATCAGGGGTGAGAGGGGTGCAGCAGGCAGCATTTGCCATCAGAGACTCATGAGCAACTTTAACACCCCCCCCAATTTAATATTTGATTCAGGGATTTAATTGGGCTTAAAATGTACAACTTTAATACGTTAATAGACTTGGTTTTACCAAGAGGATGATTTAGGATGCTCTAGTCTATGTAGGCCTTGCATGCCTCTGCTCACCAAGCACTTGTGTAGAGGGCTGCTTTTAGAAACAGGGCCCTACACAGCCTGCCCAATAGGACCCCCTGAAAATATCAAAATTCTCTTTGCTAAAAAAAAAAAAAACTACATTAAAGTTAGTAAACAGACAATTCCTGCTAAAGCAAAAAATGAATGGCTCTCCTTGCAGCACAGCAAGGAAGAGAAGCCAGGCCTCCCACTTGCTGCACCCCCCCCCCCCCCCCCCCCTTCAACTGAGCACTGGAGGGCTTGCTGTACTACCCTGTCAGTGCAATTGTGCACAATGCAGCAGGAATATTGGAATTGTATTGGTTGGGGATAGGGATGGACAATACCAGTTGTGAGCAAGTATTGTTGTAGGGGGAGATACACACCTAAACTACAAAAGCTCCAAAACATGACATGCAGCAATGTTCAGATGTCAGGCATTGGTGGAAGGAAAAAAAAAAAAAAAAAAAAAAAAAAAAAAAAAATACAGCCAGGATTAGAAAGGGACTGCACAATTCACCCAACTACATACATTTAGATACCGGATCCATAGAGAATCAGGAATTCCAAACCATGATCTTTACTGGCCTCTACTAATTTGTATGAAGCAGTCACTCAGTATCTACCATAAGAAGCTTCTCTCCTCCAGTGTCGTCTTGACCCTTTATTCAAACCAAGCCTTCGGGATCCAGAAGTGGTCTGGTCACATCTTCCCTGGTCACAGCAGCTACAGATACTGTTAGGACCCTCAACAGCAAACCAGCTGCAACAATAGTTAATATTTAGTTCCTGCAGTGATTGAACCAAAATAGCAAGGCCAGATAAAAGAAACCATTTGGCCATTGTTCAAAGATACAAGCTTTAGAACAAAGAATTCTATATATAAAAAATAATCTCCCCACCAACCCTGCTATTCAAAATGCACCGCATTTCAGGCATGTGTCAGAAAGCCCTGATAAACCTTGCAAGATTAATTCACCAGTGGGGTCTTTACCTTACTATCCCCTTTAAGCATTCACACATACCCCAAAGTCAGTTAAAGAGTAGAGGGAGCCAGCAGGGTGGATTTACTATAGGCAAAGTGTGCACGCATGGTAAAATTCTGCCAAATTCGAATAAAGTGCAAGAAAAAAAAAAAAAAAAACCCCCACACACTTTCACCAGAATTGGTGTTCTAAACCACATTAAAGCTGAATCCCAGGAATTTATACTGAAGGCACAGTGACCATCCCGTTCTGTATAACCCAATCCCCTTCTATATACAAGCTGTCATTTGCCAGACCTGTCAGTAACAGTGTTCAGTGGCCAAAATGTGTGGCTTTAACGTCGAAATTTACATGGCTCTACAATGCTGGTGACATGTATGGATGTACATAATGGGTCTGAGGATCTCCCTTTATTAAGGGGCCTAAAATGGTTTCCATTTTAATGAGTTAAAATTTTTGAAGGAGCATTACCAAAATTCCTTTATGTCCTCCAGGGAAGGTTTGACAATTCCTTTTCTATTACTCCATAAAAAGGGCAGAACTGTTTAAAATGATAAGTTCACCTTTGGGAACATGTTAAATCCACTTTTGGTGGCACATAACACTCACAGTCCTGCAGCTGCCACCCCCCCCCCTCCTGTGGGAAGTACAGGGAGTTCCCCATGCTAGTTGTCACTTTTCAAACAGCATGGCCATGTGGGGCTCCACCAAAGACAGCTGCATCATTCCCAGTAATCTTTATGAACAGACTACAGGTCCCAACAGCCTTAGCGGCTCTCAGCAAGTAGTACTCAATGAACTAGCAGGATGCTGTGGCAGTTTGAGTCTTCCTGTCAGAAGTATCAGCTTGCTCATATGGTATGAGCGAGCAAGCAGATACATTGACAGTCTGCAGGAGACCTGCATGGCATCTGATCTGCTGATGACTGGTTCTTTACACCCCCCCCCCCCCCCCCACACACAATTTCTGGAAAGGCGATAGGCATGTTCAGCTCATTTCAATATACAAGCATAGGATGTGACATAATAGGCATGCAAGTTAGAAGTCACTTCTATTAGCTTTCAATGCATGGCTACCTACCTGTTTGTTTTACTGTATGAACAGGCTTTGTTTAAGGCATCAGGTGAAGCATCATTTGTTACAGCCCTCAAGAAACAGGTAATAAAGATCTATATATTAAAAAAAAAAAAAAAAAAAAAAAAAAAAAGTTACAAATTCCTCATTTGCAATAAGCAGCACAAAATTAAAAAAAAAATAAAATAATTGAAGGTCTTACCAAAGGTGAGTTTGCATTAATAAACATAAAAGCATCAACTGAAAACTGAAGCTTGCTTGGGTCAGGCCTTGGAGCTCTGAAGGCAGAACTTGAATCTTCTTGTTTTCCATCAATTAAACACCTTCCCAAAAAAAAAAAAAAAAAAAAAAAAAAATTAAGTTAAAATTTCCAACTTTAAGTCCCATGTAAACACATTAGTCCCCCTCCCCCTTACTTTCCTGCAAGTGAAAACAGTGTTTTCAGGAGGGAAGCTGCCATGCTAATTGCAATACAAGTTACTTAAAGTGTTACTAAACTCAGGACCCTGCATTCACTATACCCGGTCTCCCCCTGGACCCTGCATTCACTATACCCGGTCTCCCCCTGGACCCTGCATTCACTATACCCGGTCTCCCCTGGACCCTGCATTCACTATACCCGGTCTCCCCCTGGACCCTGCATTCACTATACCCGGTCTCCCCCTGGACCCTGCATTCACTATACCCGGTCTCCCCCTGGACCCTGCATTCACTATACCCGGTCTCCCCCTGGACCCTGCATTCACTATACCCGGTCTCCCCCTGGACCCTGCATTCACTATGTGAATAAAGGGGAGAGAACAATGTTCTTGGACAACTTGCCAGCCAGCTTGCTAACAAGCAAATTAACCTGTCTAACAGTATGCATTTTATAACAGGGGTTTAGTTAGCACACATTTGCAAATACATACGTAAGCCACATCATGGCACCTTGATATTCTGTGGTTCTAACTCTACAATTAGAGAGTCCCCATAGTAGAGGCACATCCATTTAATGGATAGATCAAGGGCAGGTGAACCTGAGGGAGCCCACCCTTCTTAAAGGCAAAGGAGTGCACAGGACTCCAGCATGTAGCACAATGGCAGCCAGGGTTCTAGGGTGCACCCACGTACCAAAACTTTATTCCCACATTAACTATATACGGTCTCCCTGGACCCCGCAGTCACCATATCCGGTCTCCCACATTACACAGAAATGCAATTTTAGTAAAAATAAATCAATACTTTTATGCAATCAGTAGTATATAGCAGTCTTGTGACCTCCATCAGTGTCAAGCTGAGCACTGGTTACAACTAGGACTTTTCATTCTCCCCCAATTGTCCCATGAGGCTGGACCCCTGAATGTGTAAAGCTTGCCCTCCCAAGGCTCTGTTCTATCAGATTAGGGACAGTAGAAGGGGATTATCAACCCTCTTAGGTTCCACAGTGAGTATAACAAGCATGCTTTACTGCATCTACAGACTGATTGTACTGTTGTGGGTTTAGTGACTTTAATGGTTAATACAGCCGAGAAGAGAATTTATCATCTTGAACCTAATTTCTGTAAGAGAATGGATGAGGAATCAAGCAGGACTGCCAAGCGCCTGCTTCTAGAGCAGTGTACCGGAGGGGGAAGTGAGGTGATGTCCACACCTGAGCCAATTTAAATGGTGTTAACGCTCCGCAAATGCCTCTCAACCGCACACACCGGCTGGGAGTTTGTGGAGCGGCACCATAGACTTGAATAGGAGGCTTCAACGCCTCCTGACTTGACCAGAGGCATCCGTTATGCCGTGACGCCAATGCTCCTGTGAGAACAGCATTATGTGCTGCAATGTGCAGAATTTTCCAAGGAGTTTGGAAAGCTGTAAAAAAAACTTCCCAAACGCCTTTCTGCTGCCTGCACACAATGCTAGTGTGAACGTAGCCTCATTATTTCGGCGGCCAGTGGAGTCCCAACTGAAGGATAATTGTCAGCATTTCCCAATTAAGATGCTTTAAAAATGGTGTGGGGTCCCTTATCCAAACCATGCCCTTTGGGTCTGGTATGGATTTTGAGGGGAACCCCCCCCCACCAAAATTAAAAAAAAAAAGTTCTTGGTCACAAATCTTTCCAAAGATTATGGGGTAACACAGGTTATTTACATATAATCTAAGCCATGCTAGGCAAGCACTTTAGCCATTCTTAGGCTCTGGTGATGAAAATAGTCATACCATCTCATCTAGAGCAGCGTTACCATTCCATCTAGAGCAGTGGTTCTCAACCTGTGGAACCACAAGACCCCACATTTGTCCTTGGTCATTAAGTTGCAAACCCCCCCCCCCCCAAAAAAAAAAAAAAATTATAATTATTCCACAAACATGCAGTGTTCTACAGCAAGTGAGGCGAGCCGGTAAGCTGTACGGCTTCCAGCACAGAGCCTGCCTACCACATCACTCACAAGGCATGTGCATAGTGTCCCCAAGCAACTGCACCACTCAGGGTATAGAAGGCAGTTATGCCAAGTCAGTCATTCTGAGTGTTCTTAAGACGTGGAGTTGTAGTGTCCTGCAGTGCAGTGGAATATGTATGGGAGTTGGCCTCAGGGAGGGACGGCCATGGCTCAGCAGCTAGGATATTGTAGCCATTCATCTCCAGGAGCCGCACATTTCCTCATAACATAGCTCTTCCCCAGGTTGGAAGATGTGTAGCTCATGACATTCTGGATCGCTGCAGCACCAATCATCCGGAACACATGGTGGAGGGGATAGATTTAATGGGTGGCAGAAGATCGGGCCAAGCTGGGACAGGGACATGTCATCTCTATGATAGTGGGGCAGACCCACCTGGAGAGACAGAGGAGCAGTGTCTCAGTTCCTAAGACCAAATTGGAAATCTGTTTTTTTCCGATGGTCTTAGGCGACCCCTGTGAAAGGGCCATGACCCCCAAAAGGGTCACGACCCACAGGTTGAGAACCGCTTATCCAGAAAGACTTGATAGTACTTACCCATTGTAAGCAATGATTTCATAAGAAGGTCCTTGTGTGGTATTTGGATTCAGTGTGGCCACACATCGGTCTACAAGAATTCTCAAAGGAATATGATTGTTTGCATCTACAGTGGCCTCTATTTTCAAAGGTTCTCCAAGTTGAAAGACGATAGAAGAACTGGGACCACTCCAGTCATCTGTAAAAAACAAAAACATTGACTGACCTTAATAGCCAAAAGACACCCCACACGCAAGCCAGTTTGTTTTGGTCCTTAAAGATCATAGTGGGTGGATGCAACATGACTGGCCCTCCTTTGTCCATGTACTACAGTTTGTTGACATGTTAGACTTTACTCGTGGGTCAAGTGCTCATGCAATTAAAGGCTCTTGTTTGCCTATCCTGCATTTCCAAGAAGAACGCAGAACTGTATCCACTCCTAATACATGCCAGAGAATGCTACGTTGTGCCCACTTGCTTTGGAGGTCAATGGTTGGCATGCAGTGTGCCCTACCCATTCATGGCCAATCACTTGCTTTCTTGTGATTAGAAGGTAGAGCTGTAGCCATCAGAGCAGCCATGAAGCTGTGGCCCACTGGTTGACAGCCACTGAACTGGTACTTGCATGACTAAGGGGGGTGCCCTCCTATACTGCAGAGCTCTGGGCAACTGTTCTTCCTGCAAGTAGTTATATTAAAGTCATACACCCTTCATACAAAAAAAATTAACAGTTGGATATTTCAATTGCATATATATATATTCAGATTTTTATTTATTTTTTTTAAACACAAGTCATTTTAACATTTGTAAATGCATTCCAAAAATTTTTTGGAGACAGCATATTTGAAAATGCATTTTAAAAAATATTTTTCAATGTATAAAAGCAGTAAAAAAAAAAAAAAAAAAAAAAAAAAAAAAGAATACAGCCAAAATTCTAGTATTGCAAATATATTTGGGAATAATTTTAAAAATATACTTTTCTTCCATGTGGACAGTCTTGCTTGTCACATCACAAGAGATACCACTAGCATGTACTAGTTATGGAATATTTATTTTTATAAAGTATAAAAATCAGAATATTCCATATTTACTCAACCTTTCCCATACAGCACACTTCAAATTTATCAGTGATATCAAAAACATAGCCAAGGGAAAGTTATGGTTTGACAGCAGACCTAGGCAGTGGCCCATAGTTTTCAAAATTGGTACTGGAAATCCTTTGAAAGACCCACCATTCATAAGGCGCAGGGAGAAATTTAGCTTCTCCTCATATGTTAAAGTGGAACTGTAGGGAACCCATGTTGGATGTATGGCGTTACTGCTCACATTGTCATGCCTATGAAAAAAAAAAAAACACACAAGTAACACTCCCGTTAGCAGTTTTAAAACACTTTTGCATCTCAACTAAATACAATGATCCAATATCAGGAACAAGACTTTTATTGGAAGGCCTTACCTGGGGTAATAGCATTTAATAGGGATTACGGCAGAGCTGGTCCTCGTGATGGGCAGATTTGTGGCAGAAGATGGCTTGTAGGTCAGAAAGGTGCTATACAGCAGCAAGTCTGCAGTCATCTGCAACACAAATTGTACAACTAAATGTCTTAATTAGGAGACAAAAAAAAAAAAAAAAAAAAAAAAAAAAACCATCACCACACATACAACCAGGGGCGGACTGACCATTCGAGCACTGCCCGAGGGCCCAGGGTCAGTAGGGGGCCCATGAGATGCCCCTGGTACCTTTCATTGGCTTTTTTGTGTGTGGGCAAGGACACAGGGGCCCCATGAGTTGTCAGTCTGCCCCTGCATGCAACTCACACGGGGCTTGATGTTAGGCTTTACTGGCTGCTCGCTAGTTCTGACTCGCCAGGAGAAAAGCAGTGATCACAAAGCCCTGGAGCCCATAGTTCAAGATACGTCTAACATGCATTTCAGAGTGTCTAAACTCAAGACTAAGGGGGTAATATTGCAGATTAACATTCTGTAGAGGTGAAGGCATTTGTTGTCCATGAAGGCCCCCCCTCTCAATTCCCTTTTTGCGGCTCAGAGGAAATCCTTGCTCACTGTGATCCCCTAGCCTGCTTTAGCCACTTGCCCTCCTGATTTATCCACCCCCCCCCCCCCCCATGACCAGGCCATTTTTTGCATTTCCTTGACAATTGCACAGTCATGTAATGCTGCACCCAAACAAAATTTACCCCCCACAAATTGAGCTCTTTTGGAGGTATTTGATCGCCTGTGCGTTTATTTTTTGCACTATAAGCAAAAAAGACTACCGATTTTGAAAAAAAAATATATATTTTTGACTTCTGCTATTACACATGTCCAGTAAAAACAAATTTAATAATAATTTGGGCCAAAACGTATTCTGCTTCATGTCTTTACTACAGAAAAGAAAAAAAATTCCAATACCTGTAAATTAATTGGTTTACGTGAAAATTAGTGTTGTAATGGGTTTTGTACTAGTAATGGCGGCGATCAGTGACATAGTGGGACTGCAGCGCACATTCTGACACTGGGGGACTATCAGTGATTATGATCATGGGGGGGGGGGGGGGGGGGGGGGGAAGAGAAAAAAAACCCAAACATACCCTTCCTCCTTATCGGAGATGCTCAGTAATCACCAGGTGCCAACGGGCAATTACCAACCGGGACCCGGTGATTGACATCTGCGAATGGCAGCACAGGTAGGGCACGCACCCCTACGCGGAAATGCAGGATATATATACACACACACGATAGGATTGTGCACACAGGTGCCGCCCTGTAGTAGTATATCTGCTATAGGGTGGTCCTTAAGCAGTTAATGAACTAGACTACAGACATCACCTACCATGCAAAGGAGTGCTTTGTAGTTCAACTAAAATAGGTGGGAACACTAAACCAGCAAGCTAGGTTGATGGGTTTCTGGTAGGATCAGATTAGACTGCACTCATCCTTGAAAGATGATCTAAGAACTGCTAAGTTACTAAAAACATTCAGGATAGAGTAATTGAGGGTTAACACTGATCAGGTTTTTTACCATTTGTGTTTCATTGAGAATTCCCTTCACTTCCCACAGCCAAAAAAAGGAATTGAGAGGAAATCACTCCAAAAAAAAAAAAAAAAAAAAAAAAAAAAAAAAAAAAAAAAGGGAAGGAATCCCTAGAACTAGTGTACCCATGGGAAGATTTGCCCATCTACTAGGGTCCATTCATGCCACAAAATGAGCATTAAGTGCACATAAATACACGCATCACATGTGAAATGTCCTTTTCCTGGAGATATGGAAAAAAAAATCCACACACCCAAAACCCCATTCACACCTTATCTAGCCATTCCGTCATAGCCAACCCTTGGTGATTGCATGGGCCATCACTCACAAGCAACTTCTTCTATGAATTCTCTTAGCAATTATTTTACAGGGTAGGTTGCCAGGTCTTTCCCCAATCCCCACCATGCAGGTAATCCCGAATGGCCAGGGATGAAACTAGGACAATTTAGACAGGAGTCAATTAACCTACCAGAATGTCTTTGGAGTGTGGGAGGAAACTGGAGTACCCAGAGGAAACCCACACAAACACAGGGAGAACATGAAAACTCCATGCAGGAGGCACCATGTTTGGGAATCAAACCCTTGACCCAATTACTGCAAGGCAGGAGTGCTAACCAATAAGCCACTCATTCACACCTTACATCATAGAAAGATAAATCCATTATACACAAACACCACATACTGCTCACCTGGGGAGTGTTTCCACATTCCTGTAAACCAACACGAAAGACCACAGTAGTTTCAGAGTTTAAAGACTCTGGAGGGCAGAGCTGGGATCCCAGGCTCAGATCTGAGGCCTTCACCAGCTTCCCATTCCCATATAGATCTCTCTGAACAGTCACCACCATCTTGTCCTCATCACACACCACACTGACAGGATTGTGGGCCACTTGCTGTCTGGGTTGCCCAACTTCTCCAATATACATCCTAGAGGAGCCCCAGTCATGCCCAGTCCTATAATCAGCACCAGGGTCTCTTCTATGTGTGTCCCATCCAAATTCAGGATCTGAAGCCCCCCAGGGTACTCTTCTAGAGGAACCCATTCCAGATACAGACTGATGAACCCTCCACCAGTGATCAGAATGGCGCTGGTGTCTCCTCACAGCATGCTTCCTGCAGGAGACATATGCCTGACCTACAACCAGAGCCAGTAAAAGCACCCAACAGCCATTTTTCACCCAGAAGACCATCATGGCAGAAGATAATCCACCCTGCTCCCAGGTCAGACCTTTATACAACTCACCTCCACCTGCAACAGCCAATTAACCAATGATAGCTCTTGGCAGTAGGCACAGAGCTTCAGCTGAGATAAAATGTAGAGTAGAGCTACACCCTTCATTTAAAACCTTTGATATCAGTTGAAATAGTTCTTTGGGGCCAAGCTGGCCCATACAAACTGTTTAAAATGATAGAAAAGCTGGAGTTGGACTTTAAAGGGTGTAGTGAGTGAGACAGATTATAAAACAAATTTGATGTATCATTGTAGAAATGTTTCCCTTACACTGCAACAAACTGCAACCTGCCCCGCAACGCCTTAAAGGATAGTTCCACCTTTAAAAAAAAATAAAATAAATGCACATTTTTGCTGCTAAATAAATGTGCATTTACAATTTTTTTTTTTTTTAGGAGCCAGGAAAGCATTGCACTAGCGATCAGCAGATTTTGGGCGCCATGCCAGATTCTTGCAGGCTGTCAGTGCATCTGTGCGCTCGTACATTGTACAGACAGGCAGTTTCACATTGACAAGAAGAATCAATGAACTACCACAACTCTCAACAGCGCCATGGAAGTTCATTGAGAAATGCAAGCTGGCCGCTGCAAAGGATGTTGGTACTTGTAGTTGATTCATTCACGGAAAACTGCAAATGAATGATGCGGCCATGTGGGTGGAGCTGCATGTTACATGTTACATCCTAAAAATGTTTCTGATGGTGAACTTATCTTTTAAAGTAAACTCCTGAATTAAGGCAGTTTGAGCCTTTATGTGCTGGCATGCACTGTATACTAGCACATTATGACACATTTGCCCTCCTGAGGATCCCCACCCTTCCTGACCAGGCCATTTTTTGCATTATGGCGCTGCGTTACTTTAACTGACAATTGCGCAGTCATGCAATGCTGCACCCAAATTAAAGTTCAACCTTTTTTTTACCATGAATAGAGCTTTCTTTTGGTGGTATTTGATCGCCTGTGCGGTTTTTATTTTTTGCACTATAAAAAAAGCCCAAAAATTTTGAGAAAAAAAACTATATTTTTGACTTTTTGCTATTAAACATATACAGTAAAAAAACAATACAATTTTGTCAGAAATTTTGGCCATAATGTATTCTGCTCCATGTCTTTGCAAAAAAAAAAATCCCAATACGTGTAAATTAATTGGTTTACGTGAAGTTATAGCACTACAAATGGCGGTATATATACTGGGATTTTTTTTTTTTTTTACTAGTAATGGCGGCGATCAGCTACCTATAGCTGGACTGCAGTGGGTATTCACTGCAGTGGGGGGGGAACTGACTTGGTGTCCCTGACATCCCCAGTGACACCAATACAGTGATCAGTGCTAATAAAAAGCACTGACACTGTACTAATGACACTGGGCAGGAAGGGGTTAACGGGAGGGGCGATCAATGGGTTAACTGTGTGCTGTTTTACTGTAAGCTGTGTGTGCTTTCAACTGTAAGCACTCTGCTTTGTATGCCTCTGCTATGCAGAGCCATACAAAGCAGTGTGCAGGAGCTGACGGGAGAGAACTGTATTGTTTACAATTACAAAGAGGTTAAAGTGACACTAAAGGTTTGTTTAGTCTATTCTTACAGTCTATACTTACCTGATCTGTGCAGTGGTTTCGCACAAAACAGCCCTGATCCTCTTTTTTTTCGCTGTCGGCGCTCTAGCTCCTCCCCTTGAGCAGTGTCCCCAGGGAAAGACGCTTGCCCTGGGGGAACTGCTCTGAGACACATAGTGCAGCGGCTCACTCCCACCCCCTGCTCTCTCCTTATTGGGCCACTGTCTGTGATTGACAGCAGTGGGAGCCAATGGGCTGTCTCAGCCAATGAGGAAGAGAACATCACTGGATTAGAGGATGGGGGGGGGGGGGTTCAGGTAAGGATTGGGGGGGTTGTACACAGAAGGTTTTTTACCTTCATGCATAGAATACATGAAGGTAAAACACCTTCAGCCTTTAGAACCACTTTAACCCTAGGTTCACACCTAAGCAGGGGCGGACTGACAACTCATGGCGGACAATAGGGGATCACGGGGCCCCTGTGTCCTTGCCCACACTCTAAGCACTCCCAAAAAAGCCTATAAAAAGTACCAGGGGCATTTCATGGGGCCCCCTACTGACCCTGGGCCCTTGGGCAGTGCCTGAGTGTCCAAAAGTTCAGTCCGCCCCTGCACCTAAGCATTTTCCACAGCGTTTTGCAGACACACACTACAGTCCATTTGACATAATTTCCTATGGGACAGGTTCACATCTCTGCATTTTCACTCGGTGCGTTTTTTGGAAAGGGTCAGGGGCTTTTTTAAATGCAAAAAGTTGCGTTTTTGGTTCTATAGACTTCAATAGAAATGCTGCAGAAAAGCTTGTAGTGCGATTTTGATGTATTTTGTGCTTTAAATCTGCCTAGCAGCAAGGAAAAAAACAAACGCAAAATGCATCAAAAACGCACTACATGCTTTTCTGCAGTGTTTCCAAAAATGTGTCAAAAAACGCAGGTGCAAAAATTCTACTACGGACTGGTCTGAGTTCCGAATTCACCTCATTTACAGCCACACTCTGGTATCTATCCTTTAGCCAACTGCATATCCGTTGAACCGCCCGAGGGTTAAGTCCTAGCTTGTGCAAATTTTTAATTGGATCATTATGTGAAACTGTATCAAATGTGTTGCTGGAATCAAGATAGGCCATTTCTGTACCTACAGCAACCAATACAAGTAATCTTTGACGGTAAAGTGGTTGATGTGAGTAATCGCCAGGGGCAGACTGACCATTCAAGCACCCAGGCACTGCCCGAGGGCCCGGGGTCAGTAGGGGGCCCCATGAAATGCCCCTGGTACCTTTTTAATAGGCTTTTTGTGTGTGCTTTGAGTGTGGGCAAGGACACAGGGGCCCCATGATCCCCTATTGCCCGGGGGCCCCATGAGTTGTAAGTCCACCCCTGGTGATCGCACTACGTCAATACAGGTGGTCAATGAACTGACAGAAACTGACAGTAATACTTTAATTTCTGTGTGCTGCAAATAAGATGCCTACCAACCAATAGAGAAAGGAAGTTCATGTAGAAACTCAAAACAGTCCACAAAGCTCTCATTTACATCATAGTCCACAAAGTTATCCCTTACATCAGAGTCCACAGAGTTCCCCTTTATATCAGAGACCACAGGGTCTCCCCTTACAATGTAAAGCGGAACTCTACAGACCCTGATGTAAGGGGGAACACTGTGAACCTTTATGTAAAGGGGAAAGCTGCAGACCATCCGTGATGTAAAGGGGAAATTTGATATAAGGAGGTCTCTGGTCACCAGAGCCCCCTCCTCCTTACACAAGAGTCCACAGAGTTCTCTCTTACATCAGAGTCTGCAGGATTCCCCCTTACAGTACAAGGGAGATTGCTGTGCAATCGATGTAAAGGGGAATGCTGCAGACCATGATGTAAGGGGGAATGCTGCAGACTCTGGTGTAAAGTGGAACTCTGATGTAAAGAGGTCTCTGGTCAGCAGAACCCCCCCTTACATCAGTGTCTACAGAGTTCCCCTTTACATCAGAGTTTGCCTTTGCAAAGTGTATGTAGAAACCCTTTATTGGTGCTTCAGTTAGGTGAAATATTTTGTATTTTCTCAGCCATTGGCCTAGAAGTCCCATGGCCCTCAGCTATCACACAGTAGCTCTTTCCTTTTCAACCTAAAGTGAAGATCCCAAATAATGCTCCCCCACTTTTCTGGAATCAGTTTTCTATTACGAGGTTTCCTTGTGCATGGGTTGTTACATAGTTACATAGTTAGTCTGGCTGAAAAAAGACAAAAGTCCATCCAGTTCAACCATTAAAAAAAAAAAGTTATAATCCTATACCCACAATTGATCCAGAGGAAGGCAAAAAAAAAAACCCAGCAAAGCACGATCCAACTTGCTCCAGCAGGGGAAAATGTTCCTTCCTGATCCCCCGAGAGGCAATCGGATATTCCGTGGATCAACTTTCCCTATAAATGTTATATCCAGTTATATTCTGTGTATCCAAGAAAGGATCCAGGACTTTTTTTAACCATTTGCCGCCCGGCCTATAGCTGTTTGGCGGCCGCAAAAATGCTCTATCTTTCCGGGGCGTCCTCCCGCACATGCGCAGGTCGCGCGGTTGCAGAGCCGCGCAGCGGAGCGATCTGTCACCGGCCCTGTACCTCGGACACGGCCGATGACAGATCTGAGTACCGGCCCCCGTTGCCGGTACCATGTGACCTGCTGTGACCAATCACCCTGAATGAATCGATTTCATTCAGGTAAATGCTTGCTTATAGCAAAGTAATTCTTTGCTATAAGCAAATTGTGTAAAAAAAAAAAAAAAAATACTGATCACTTCCCCAAAGTAGTACAATGTTACTATGGTAACATTGTACTACTTTGGTCACAGGAAAATATGAAAAAAAATCTTAAAAAAAAAAAAAAAAAAAAATGTAATAAAAAATAAAAAAAAATTAAAAAATGTATATTTTTTTTCATACTGTCACCAGTCAGTGTCGCTGATCACCGCCATGCCAGTTATATGATGACGCTGTACTGCACTGGTGACAGTATGTAAAAAAAAATAGTGAAAATAATTTTTTTCATTTTTTCATTTTCCGAAAAATTATGACAAAAAAAATACAACTTCAAAAAAACTCGCCATTCCTCTTATGAAGTACGTCGGACTGTCTACTCTGCAAAAAGGGGTCA